AATCAATCAATCAATCAATCAATCAATCAATCAATCAATCAATCAATCAATCAATCAATCAATCAATCAATCAATCAATCAATCAATCAATCATAACCTCTAAAGCAAAACTGGATGTAGGAGAACTTCACATTAAAACCTGCTTGTAAAACTTACTGCTTCAAATATGGCAACATTCAGAATCAGCTGAATAAGCTTTGGAAAGATATACATATTGCTGCGATCAACGAGTCAGTGCTTGGTAGGCTCAAAGAAAAGACAAATGAATGACAAAGAAACAAAGCTTCACAGAGGGCAAAAGGGTGATTAGCAGGGTGAAAAAGACCATCTTAGCATGCCCTGCAAAAGACTATCTTAAATCCCTTAAGCCTTGAAAGAAAACAAAATCTGCCCACCATGGAACACGATTGTAACTTATCCTGCTAAAACACACACAAACTCTCTTCCCATCTCTCTGCCTGTCCTTTTTTTCATTTCTAGCATTTCTTTGGTTACCAGCTAATCTCTCTCTCGCAGCTGTAGTTTCTATTTCACTCTGAGAAAGAGCTTCTCCAACTCCTGAAAGCAATGCCACTTTCCACCCCGTTCCCTCCACACGTTTCACACAATGGAGGAATAAAACCTCCCTGTCACTCTCCTTATCAGCTCCTAATTGACTGCCGGTGGCAGAGCTCAGAACCAAGGCAGGCTACTCCTGCCTCTGTGGTCCGATCGTTGGACGAACCTTCAGCTGCCGGGATTTAAATGTCGTACTCATTTGCCACCGGTCAAGGCAGTATGACAAAGGGGTTCAGTCTTCTGGAAAGTACAGGTCTTACTCATCAGGAGGAGGCCTTCAGTTGTGGAGTGACAAAGAGGCAGCAGCAGAGGGGCTGATTCTCATGTGCCGAGGGATGGTCTGAGCTGCAGGTGAATAATTCAAGTTTCTAGTGAACAATTCTGAACAAAAGCCTCTTTTTTAACACTGCAACTACTGGAGAGAGGAGCTGCTCCTCCTGAATAAACCCTATGGGGTATTAGAGTGTGCAATACTAAAAAGTATTTTTGGGATGTACTTGCAGAGATATTTTAAGCTAGACCCTTTTTTTGGTTTTGAACCAATGCAGAGGGACGTACTTGACTGTCATTTCCACTACACTATTTGCTTTATGCTCTTGTCAGATGGTACAAGTATAAAAATACATTAGTGTTTAGAATTTTAAGCTACTGCCTTATCTCTATGAGGAGGTATTTTAAGCATAGTTATAGCTATATTTTGGAAGGTTACATTTTATAATACAAATAGCAGTAACTTTCTTTGGCTATAGCTGTCCAGACAAGACATTCATCTACGTATCTACTGCTTACATAATCCCTCTAGTGAGTTCTGAGCCTGTCTTGACATTTACAGCCAGTGGGATGTAGATGGAAAATCTCCACAAAGAGAAACCCAGGAGGCATCCAAATCAGATGCCCAAACCACCTCAACAGACTATTTTTGATACGGAGTAGCATTGGTTCTACTCAGAATTCTCTCCCAGACGATAGAGCTCCTCATTTTATCTTAAAGGCTGATCCAGGCCACTCTTTAGAGGAAGCTCCTGTCAGCTGCTTGAATTAAAATCTTGTTCTTTTAGTCATTAGTCACACCTCATGACTAAAGGTAATGGTTAGAATTAGAGCTGGGTGGTATACCAGTTTGTACTGAAAAACATTTTTGTTTTCATAATTATCTGAATTTTCTGACTACCGACATTAAAGTCTACGGTTTAAAGAGCCTGAACACGTTTGGAACATTGCGCCCTCCAGTGAACTATTTCACGGGGGACACATTTTCTCGCAGTGCCACTCAATGTCTCATTAGCAAGCTAATTTCATTGTTGGAGCAGCCTTCTCAATTACTGGCAGCGGGTGGTGATTTCACTGCTTCGATTGACTGACAATAAACCAAAATCTCTCTCATTTTCACCATCACTGAGTGTAAAATACACCTCTTCAGTGACGTGGACTGATCCATTTCATGCGTGCCCTAAGTATGCCCAATGTTTGAAGACTTTACTTTGTGAAAAGCCTTGGGGGACTTCTGGGTGAAGTAGTTTTGTACCGGGGTTGAGTTAACTGGTGCACAGAGGCTGAGTCGCCCTGTTAAGCTTTATTAAATAACACAAAACAATAGACCCAATAATAATATTTGCTCAACCCTCTTCCTTTGCAACCATACCAAAATGTGTGACTACTATCTACAACCAGGCAAAGAAGAAAAGACCTGTAGAGGAAGGAAACAGTGACACAGACAGAGGCACGGTAAAAGAAAAAAAAAGTCAAGAAATAGTTTCTGTGTTGCAGAGAGTAACTTCAGCTGACTAAATTTAGCTGACCAATAAGCAGCGTTTGTACATTTTATTATCAGCTGAGCTGTGATGAAAAGAAAAATACTGCCAAATGCCATTATATTAGAGTATAATTGTTGAATATACTCTGATATAAAATTTGGGTTATACCACCCAGCCCTAGTTAGAATGTGGATAAACCAGTAAATCAAGAGCTTTGTCTTTCAGCTTGACACTTCACTACAACAGACCAAAACAACACCCTTGTTACTGCAAATTTATCTATTGGTCCAACTCCATCTTCATGCAAGGTACCTGAACTCACTTAAGGTAAAGACTCACCTTCAACCTAGAGGAAGGATTCTGGTTAATCAAGAAATCAATCAGTTTATAAAATTGGCCAAAGATCTTAAAGACAGCTGGGATGAAGATAATTTCAAGGCACAATAAATCTGAACAGTATTATGTCCACTTTAATATTTTACTCTAATCTAAACACTTCAGCTACTGTAATAATGAATAGGAACACATTTTACAAATTTGCTTCTGAGATAAACAACCTATTGAAGATCCTTCTTCTCAAGAGTTTTTAAAAAACTTCTTACCAAGATGGGAAATTTGCCACTGGGATGCAAAAACTTTTGTTTTCTTGAGTTTAGTTTGAGCAGATGCATCAGATGAAAGAAGTGTCTGCTTACAGTCTCATGAGGCATTGCAAAATGTTTAGCTCCCTCTGAAGGTTTGTTTTGCAAGACAGGTGATGCGCGAATGTGCTGTGGGGCTTCATGACTGAGTGAACGCATCATACATATGGAAAACACTTGCTGAAAGATTTAGTTAAGACAGATTTTCTACCAACAGTTAGGCAGTCTTTGTAAACTTTGTAAAAGTATCACAGACATTTTCTTTCTTTGGTGCATCAGTTTATGAGCTGTACATTACATTTGCAGTTACTTGATGCACATGTGTACTTTTTTGCGCATTACTGCTGGTAGAACTGGTGTTTTTTGTGAATTTGTCAGTGCTTACCTGTGTGCCGAGCCATGGTGTCTGCTCTGGTGACTGTGCTGATGATGTGAAGGTCCTGAAACAGAGAAATGCCTCCTGCTGTTCTGAAGTCCGAGGCTGGTCGGCTGAGTCTCTCCACTCCAGTGATGGTGATCCGTGGCTCACTGGGCTGCAGCACCATTACCACAGCATCAATGGAGGGGATGGTGATACACGTGTCTTCACCAAAACACCTAAATGTATAGAGGCAATGATGAAAAGTGGAGAACTCAACCTGTGGTAGTAATGGCTCTGTTTTGTTGTTTCTTGTTAGCAAAAGAAGACAGAAAACATATGAAGAGTGATTAAAATATATCTGTTTGCATGTGTTGATTCATTCAATTCAATTAAATTCAAATTCAAAAATACTTTATTGATCCCAGAGGGAAATTAGGTTGACATGTGTGATAAATGACACACATCTGGGACAATCTCTGTGTAAAATCAGGAATATCAAACAAACTAGAACTTCACCAGTCTGTAACTGGTCCTAAAACAAAATACATTCACCCTCAAAGTAGTTCCTCCCAAAAAAAGCAATGTAAATTAGTTATTTGCTTCTGTTGTCGTGCATTGTTTTGTTCTTTGTTTTTCAACTATTTTGACCATTTTAAATGTAATTTAAATGAGTATTGACACATTATGAGTTTTTGTTTACTTATTTACAGTTATAGGGTAGTACAGACCGATGACTAGGGATGTCCCGATCAGATGCTCAGTTTCGGTATCGTTGGCAGATATGGCCATTTTTTGAAAATCAGGTAGAATCAGATTTAGTCATGTGATCGGGCCGATCCAGTTTTCGCGACAGTTTTCAGCATCATCATGCTTTACAACTGCTGTTAAGAAGTCAAGACCCACAAAAGTATGCAACCATGTCCACAGTGTGGGAACACTTTTCAATGGAAAACAATGATGCTGAAACTGCATCTTGCAACATCTGCAAACTGGATGGGTGACAGAAATGATTGGACAGGTCTATGAACAGTTTCTGCTAGTTTAGGAGCATTGATATGAAAAATGTGAGCTCATAAAATGCAGGAATAACGTTCAGTAAAACTTGTGTCCAACAAAGGAGATGTTTGAAGATGAAGGTAGGACATTTTTACTGTAATCTGTGGCGACTGTTTATGAATTACTGCTAAATTTATACTAACATAAAGCTACTTTCAAGGAATTCTCTGTTTGTGAGTTTGGTCTTTGCTGCCACAGAGTTAAGAAGCATAGTTTGTCTTTTTTGCTTTTAATATATAGAATTTTTTCACAGGACATCCTTTACATCTGCTTACACCAGGGGTGCCCAACCAGTCGCTCGCGGGCTACTGGTCACCCGCCAGCTGATTCCCAGGTGCCCGCGCAGCGCAACCTTGCTCTAACAGCTGTCATCAGCAAAGTGCCCAGTGTCAGAAGTCCCAATAAGTTAGAGACATTTATTTTTATATAGCCTGCGTAAAAAGTTTTCTCCTCTAGATTTGTCACATTGCGACTGTATGTTGTTTTTTTATATTTTTTATTTTACTTGTTTTGTTACATTTTTAGACCAGACTGACTGGCAACTTTGTGTTTATTTATTTATTTATTTTGCACTTTGGGTGTGCCCTTGTTTTCTATACCTAACGTGTGTGTGTGTGTGTGTGTGTGTGTGTGTGTGTGTGTGTGT